CTGTCTCTTGTCTCTATTTTTTAATCCGCAGCCCTTCGCTCAGACATGGTAAACGGGTATTGGTAATGCTGGCGTTACCGCTACACTGCAGACCAGCTCTGAGAACCGGACAGGCACAAGCTCCTAGACTGCCATGCATTGGAGGGTCTTTGGTCCCCTGTGGCTCCTTCCTTAATGTTTTCTTTCTCAAGGAAGAAGAGATATCTTCTGGGTGTTGGCGGCAGTCGTGTGGCCACCACCCTCGTGTGGCCACCATCCTTGTGAGGCCACCATCCTCGTGAGGCCACCATCCTGGTGAGGCCACCATCCTCATGAGGCCACCATCCTCGTGAGGCCACCATCCTCGTGTGGCCACCATTCTGTAGTGTACTTCAGTCACAGCATTGAGTGGACTGGGAAATAGACACCATAGTTATCAGAAAACAGTATGAACTAGGGGAGAGAGCAGGAGATCACAGAAACGGTAAGAGGGTCAACAACCTGACCCTCCGAGTCTCAACATGGATTGTCCCCAAGGCAACTGAGCCTCAGGCCATTCTGTAAGTGACACGAAACCGAGCAGCATCTGTTAGTGGCTTACCACCAAATCATCCACATTCGAGGAGGCCCCAAAAGGAAGTACACCTTTCCCTCCTCTGTGAACTTCTCTGTCTTATGCCTCAGAGTGCTTTTCTGTTATAGGTTACTATATGTCATATGTATATGCATCTTGGTTATTCCACATCTATGCATTTGAATCCTTTATGTGAGTGAATGATGAGCTGCTTGCTGTAAGGCTGTGAAAAGCAGGGTGTGAGGGGTCGACCTCCTGTGTGGTTACAGTAAGCATCAGGACATGCAAAAACAGTTGTATGTTGCAAGAGGCATAAGAAAGTCTCTGAGTGCCTAGTATATAGCAGGTGTTTAATAAATGGTTATTATTTTTTATTACTAATACATTGTCAAAAGTTAGTTCATGTCCAAGTGAATTCATGTAGCTCATCACCTTTTTTTAAGAGTCAATGTTGCCAGCATGGTCCACTGTAAACCCTTCATAACCTCCAGAATGGATAGTCCAGCTTTCACAGCTGAATGCAGAATTCTCCTGCCTCACCCTCCTACTGAATCCAGGCCATTTCCCACTTCTTTTAATTTTTCCTCCTTGTATTTCTGTTGGGAGCACAAAGTCCTAGAACCCATCCCCAGGGATCCCAGGAATGTTAAGCACACAGGATTGTCCTGTTTTTCCAGAAGGCTGGAAATTGGAGGTGATTAATAGCCTGGTGATCTTCATTATCTGTTGGGTCAGGCCATATCAAGCTCCTAAAAACAGGACCAGAGGTGGCTAGTAATCCAAATGACCCTGACATTACATGTACAGTCAGGGGCTCCCCAACCTCCCACAACCAGGACCAGAAGTGGTGGCTAATAGCCCAAATGACCTCCATGCTATCTATATGACCAAGACCAGGCCTGACCCTTCCTTAGTCCCTTAAGCTAGTACAGGTAGCATATCTCTAGAAGCCATCTTCTTGGACAAAATGACATGTAATTTGAGTTAATTACATGTAATTAGGCCTTGTGCACCAGGGACTGTGTTACACCAGGAGGCAGTTTTACAAATCACATTGTGTTTAAGTGTGCTGGCAATACATCCCAGCATCAGACTCTTAGAGTTTGATCCAGCCTGGCAGACTGAGTCAGGCTGGACTGAGTTTTCATCCTCATGTCTTAGTGGTTTGTTTCCCTGTCTGCCACAACACCTGCAGCAACCTCCACACATTTCCTTCTTCCTCTTCATTTCTTCCTATTATTTTTATTCAACCCTTACTTGGGAAATTACTGCTATGGGTTGGTCTTCAAGGTTCCATAGATATATCAATACACATAAAGATTTAGCTGAACACATAGACAAGTCAAATAGAAAATTGGATGGACAGAGGAGCCTTTGAGATCTTGCTTTGGTTTGAATGTGTTGGAAGCTGCTGTGTGAGAGACTTTTCCTTGGGAGACAACAACACACAAAACACTTGATGAGTTTCTTTTATTAATTAGTTTTCTATTTTTCTCATATAGTGTACTGTGATCTCCTTCTTTCCCCTTCTTAATCTCATCCCAGATCT